ATATAACAGAGAGAAGATGTGAAGAAGGCCCTGCTTAAACAAGCTTATAATCTATATAATCACTCTGATGTCTTTTCTGATGACTTTACTTGCCCAGCGTTTTGATGACAATTACTAATTAGTATATGGGGCTCTGAAATGCTGGGGAGATACCAAAGAATTTACAGTTACTTCCTTCAGCAGAAGGTATGCCTGGGACAGGAATATTATACCACTGACCTGTCCTTTGTTGTCAGGAACACTGTGAATTCATAGTTCTTGTACTGCTGTCCTGTGTTTGTCAAAGATGTTCTCAATCAGCGCAGAATGAGCACATGCCCTGTGGGGCGGCAGGTAGAGAGAACGTTAGCTTGCAGACACAGATGTCCTTTTTTTTGGGCAGGTCAGTCGGTTTTTGCCACCCCCTTTCAGACCCATATACTGCGAGTCCCAGATCCCATAACATCAGTATTGGGAGATAGTACGCAATTACATTTCGTAGTTAAGCCTCAAAATTGTATGAATAATTATATTTTTATTATATTAATCAATAAATTGAAGAACATAATGAGAAACTGCTCATAAATATCTGCAGAACAATGATTTAACATTAGTTTGGCAGTGGTATTAAATCTATAGCCTGCAAGCTGAATGTGGCGGGCTGAGGGCAGGATACCGGCCTGTGCGTTGCCACTTTCATCTCCTTGCATTAACAGATCTGTGGTGGAATGAAAGAGGCAAGAACCACAAGTACTTGTAAAACAACCATAATATAGGTTACTATTGTGTTATAGAACATTTATATCCACTCACCACTGCAGCTTACAGGCAGCGTTTGACACAAGTTTACTGGAAATCCTCTTTGGTATTGATTCCATATATTATGTAAAAAAAAAATATTCTTTTATTAAAATGATAAACCAGATTGGATAGTCACAGCCTTGCGTTCAAGATCTATTTTGTAGAGAAAATAATCCAAAACAAAATAGTGGGAAAGGCACACACACACAAAAAGAAAGTGCAGCTACATCACCCGTGAACTAATCACTAAAAACAATTCACATAAAAAACTATTATAACTCGAAATAAGGTGAAAACGCACACAACATATAAAAAGCTTTACCCTCCTTTTTGTTTGTGGAAGGTTTAGGTTTTTCAATGTACAAGGTGCATTTTATTTAAGACCAGAATAAAATAAAAAGAGAACTTTTCATAGGTTAGCATATCATTACACAATTACAGATTCAGCCAATCAGTGACTCCCTATTCACTGGCATGGAAAGAAACGTGCCTTTTCCAAGTCAGTTTTGTGAATGGGGTGCCACTGATTGTCAGCTGACCGCTTTCAGCAAATCAGCGGCACACCTGCCAACGGCACTCTATGCTTCCTGAAAGTGACATTTTGGAAAGCTGGATGCCGCACTGGGGAGGAGTTGAGATTGCCGCTGGAGGCAAATTTGTGGTTAAACTGTTCTCCCAGGTGCCTCCTGGCACCATAACAACTTAATTTAAATCAAGTTGGTCCCTTTAATCTGAATTAATTAAACAATAAATAGAAAGAACCCATGTACGCTCAAATAGCGTTATTTCATCGATTTTATTATACAGAAACATTAAAAACCCTTACATCCAAGTTGTAAGTTCACAGCTCCAAACAATACAAACGCCAAATCACAAGCGATTTTCAACCTCATTTGAATTCACTCCACCCGTATCTGCAAGCCGTAGCGCTCTGTTCGCATTGGGAGGTGCAGGTCCACCTTCTGCAATCGTTACGTGACACGTTTTGTGCGATCATGTGGACATACAAAAAAATTGCTTTTCTGGCCACACAAGCGCCAACACAGACCTGCGGGGATATACCTGATTTTCATTACTATAACCAGTTTAGTGTACCATCTAGAAACCATTTTATAGCATTGTTCTTGTAAGCCTACAGAAAAAAAAAGTTCCTGGGGGATGCTTCAAATATTCACCCTGTCAACACCCTCCAAGGCCTTCCCTATATCTGCCCCCCATCTGCTCATGTAAATCAAGGGAACACAAGAAAACTGCTAAGTAAGGAAGATTCCAGATGCAAGCAAGTTAAGCAATCTTACAAAAGCAGTAAGGGAGGAAAGGGCTATTATCCTAATCTGGAACATGTCTGCAAAGCTTATGATTTGTAAAAAAAATGGAAACAGGCCTCGATTTAATATTATTATTATTATTTTATTATTTATATAGCGCCATCACATTACATAGTGCTGTACAATGGGTTGCTTGCAAAAGCTTTTCAAATGATTTTTTCAAAATATTAAAATACCAAAAATGATTTCATGGGGGGTGGGGCTTGGACGCCATCCTGGAAGGTCGCAGGATTTTTATTTTATTTTTGTGAACAGTCCGAGCCTTGCACTCCCCCCCATTTGGGTCGGCGGGGGATATCCCGGCCCCCACCAAGCGAGTACTTACCTCCGCGGTGCTCCTGGGCGACACTAGTAAAGGTGACCTACACGTGGCCTCCCAAAGATGGCCGACGGTAAAGCTGCACAAGTTCACCTACAACCCAACAACTGGGAAACACAATTCTGTCAAAGAGTCGACATCATGTGCCAACAGTATTGGAGAGGCTGGGAGCAGTGGCAAAGACCATCTACAAAGCCCACATCCATGGCGCAACCTCCAGACAGAGCTCCGGTTCAACTAGTCAATATTTGTAAAAGTTCACCTCTATCAACTGGATAGAAAGTGCCTCAGTAATACGTTCATTTTAATACAATGAACTCTGTCAGTCTATGAAATCAGATTTCCCCCATTTTTGCAGGTACAAGTTCAACTGAAGACCGTGTCTTCAGAAGGATATTGATACCTTAGAGAAGGCTCAGAGAAGGGCTACTAAACTGGTTCATGGATTGCGGGATAAAACTTACCAGGAAAGGTTAAAGGATTTTAACATGTATAGCTTGGAGGAAAGACGAGACAGGGGGGATATGATAGAAACATTTAAATATATAAAGGGAATCAACACAGTAAAGGAGGAGACTATATTTAAAAGAAGAAAAACTACCACAACAAGAGGACATAGTCTTAAATTAGAGGGACAAAGGTTTAAAAATAATATCAGGAAGTATTACTTTACTGAGAGGGTAGTGGATGCATGGAATAGCCTTCCAGCTGAAGTGGTAGAGGTTAACACAGTAAAGGAGTTTAAGCATGCGTGGGATAGGCATAAGGCTATCCTATCTATAAGATAAGGCTAGGGACTAATGAAAGTATTTAGAAAATTGGGCAGACTAGATGGGCCGAATGGTTCTTATCTGCCGTCACATTCTATGTTTCTATTTAAAATAAGGGACCATCATTTATGTCATATAGATTCTAACGTTTGGCGACAAGTAAACACGGAAATTTTTAAATGTATTAGATTCAGATTTGAAGTTAGAAATCCTTTTAATCTCTGCAATGTGAGAAGAGACAAATAACTTCACCTTTGTCTAATTAAAGGAACACTAAAGTGTTAGGAATACGCATCTCTATTCCTAACACTTTAGTGTCCCTGTCTCTAGTAAAATACAGGTGCCACCCACATTTGTGATAAAAAATTTATAAAATTAAGATTTGTTTACCTTTTTCCAATGCTGAGGCTGCCATGGCCCTGCTCACCTCTCTGCTTCCCGTGACTTCATGGTCAATGCTTTCCTATGGTGGTTTCCTTGCAATGTGACAGAGTTTTACTTTCTCAGTGCGCGGAAGCATCTCTAGTGGTTGTCAGTACTTAACGCTAAAAAATTGCAATGTTGGGGGGCGGGGCCTGGCAACCAAAATGGCCGGTCGCACACTCTAAGAGCTCCTGCATTACAGAGCACAAACAAGCTACCACATAGCGATCCTCAAACGCTAGAAACTCACAGTGACCAGGGATCCACTCAAGATACCATGAGTAACAGAACGGTACCGGTCCGGCACCGATACGTGGCGAAACGCCCTATATCGACTATGCGGCCTACAACGGAGCGGAGCCTGAGGTCTGGGGGAGGCGGCCGATCTCCCGACACAAGACCCGCTCGCATGCGTGAAATCAGCACAACCCTGTTACCCCCCCCTCTGGACCGGCGGGGGATATCCCGGTCCTCGCTGGGGACGATCACCCCCACACCAACGTCTGACCAAGCGACTACACCCAAAGCAACACAGGCATATCCAGGCCCACACAAGATGGCGGCACTGACACAGCCTACCACTAAACGTACTCTAATCAAACCTCCCAAGCACTCACGGGAGTTCTTCGACCAGATCTGCGCCAGCCTTTGGATAAAGCTCCAGGCTCAGAGACGGCCCTACATGAGGGCGATCAAAGAGGTGGCGGCGTGGATCCGCCCAGCAATCCGGCGCCACTTAGGCTGGAATCCCCCTCGTGTCCCCAGAGTGGCCCACCAGCGGAGCCGGAGACCAGCACAGAGGGAAACAACGCCAAGTATCCTAGGCACCAGCACTGGTGCTCCCACGCCTCGGAGGGGATCCTGCAAATATGCCAAACCCGCCTACACCTCAGCGGCCCCAACTGCCATCACCCAGCAGGGCGCAACCCCTCGATATGACACTCACAATACCGGCCGCACCGCAGTTCGGGAGGCAGAGAGGCTGGATGCCGGAAAGGGACATGGACGGTATGCCCCTCCGCGGCCCATGGGGGAGAGGACATCGATCCACAAGCACAACAAGCAGATCCTGCCTGCTTGCAACTCACCAAACCCAAGCCCGTCTGACCAGCACGGCACGAAGCACCAGCTCCAGGATCATGCTGCACGCCATGAGGCCGCACAAGACATAACCCCGCTGACAACTGTAAGAGCTGGAACCGGGCCCAGGCACTTCACCGACGGGACCAGTTGTACCGGCTACAGAGACATTCCCACACTGGGCATCGGCTGAAAGGCCTCTCACCCTGCCCCACAGCTGACAGACCTTGAACCACCCCATGTGGGCACACTCCACGGCTGTCTCAGCTGCTGCCGGCATACCCTGATACCTGCCGGGTAATGCTGGCAACGGTCGGAAACAAGAGCGCAAGAGTGGCTGTGAAAGTCATCAAGAAAACACGGATGACGGCAGAAAGGATTCTCGAAGAGAGGAATGTCCTGAAGGCGGCAGGTGAATGCCCCTTCCTCTGCCCTGGATTAGCTGCCTTTCAGACACCGGCCCACGCGTTCTTCGTTATGCCACATGTGAGTGGAGGCAACCTGAGCATTATTCTCAAGAAGGAACCCTGCCTCGATCGCCACAAAGTAAAATTTATGTCAGCAGAAATGGTCTGTGGCATCCAATTTCTCCACAGACATGGCATTATTCATCGAGACCTAAAGCCGAGTAATATATTGTTTGAGAGAGATGGCCATGTTAGAATTGCCGATTTTGGACTGGCGGCTACTAATATATTTACAGGAGACAATACCACGGGTGTGACTGGGACTCTGCCCTACATGGCCCCTGAGGTGCTTTTAAACCAGGCGTACGGCCCAGCAGTGGACTGGTGGTCACTTGGCACGATTGCTTTTAAGATGCTGAGTGGAAGGCACCCATTTTACACCAGTCAGGACCCAAAACTTTACCGTGACTGCCTAAACACAAAGGAGCCCAGTTACCCACATTCGTTTTCTGGAGTAACACAAGACTTCTTGTCTGAGCTCCTCATAAAAGAGCCAAAATTGCGCCTTGGGGTATATGGTGACATCAGGGCCCATCCATTCTACAGCGGGATAGATTGGAAGAACGTGGAGGCAGAAAACATTCATCCTCCATACCAGGCAATGGTGGAGTCATATGGCGACCTAACATCTGAGTGCCGGGAGGAGACCCTCTCGTTTCTGAATGATAGTAACACATCAGAATACACCGAGGACATCCCTGGCTTATCTTTCACCAGCCACAAATGGAGGGACTAAGCTATCGAAGCAGAAAGACGATATCTCCTGCTGTATTCCATCAGAGTAGCTTCTCTTGCTGCATTTCATCACAGCAGCTTCTCGTTGTATTCCATCAATGCAAACACTGTCTTCTGCTTCATTCTATCTATAAGAACTTATTCTGATGGTTACTTGATCATTGAGACCCTATTTTCTCTAATTATTAAACATGTAGATACATACTGAAAAAAATAAAAAAATTTAAAAAAAATAAAATTGCAATGTTTTACATTGCAGGGTTACAAGGACAGGACCACTTCACCCAGGCCACTTTATTGAAATTAAGTGATTAGGCTGTCTGTAGTGGTACTCTAAACTAAATAGTGGGAGATTGACAGATCACTGTCCAACCTCCTGCTCCCACCCATGGCCAGGAGTCTGGGTAATGAATTTTATTTTTAAATATGTGGGGACATCATAGTGTCCCCCCGCATCCCTACCCATAATCAGTTTTAGTGGTCTTTTAATCTTATAACCTGAAATCAGCTAAATATTTTATAGCAAAGACAATTTAAAAAAAGCAAAACATCATACTCATAAGCTGAAACTTTAGATTCTTTCCATACAACTGGCCACCCCTTCATTCTATTCTTTTTAACTCTACCTTCAAAAGATTCAGCAGAAACAAAAAAAATGTTTCCTTGCAGTCAGTTCTGCTAAAGAAAGTTCCACTGGTGGCCTAATCTATAGACATTTTCTAACACAGGCCTCAATTTCATATTTTTTTATCTTTTCAAACGATTTCATATTTTTTGGATACATTTTTTAAATGATTTATTAGTTTTAAAAATATTTTAATAATTTTAGATGTTGATACTTTTTTTATATGTTTTTTTTGTTGCTATTTTAATATTAGAAAAAAAAACTAATTAAAATGTTTATCTGAAAATGTTCAATAAATTAAAAAGCCTATCGAAAAATATTAATTGACACAATATTCAGTGAATTCTGGATCAATTAGATCAGTAATGTATTTTTTGTCAGGTTCTCTATCATCACTAACACTAAATGAAGATCAAAAAACATTCTGGGTCCAATTACGAAAGGATAAAGATAATTCAGAAGTACAGTAGTTTCCACAACAGTAAACATGTCCCATACAAAGTGAAATTTTTTATATTGTTCTTTAAAAAGTCAGAGCATCTGCAGGACAATGGCATCTGTCAGGGGCAGACAGTTCCATGATTTGTGCACATTAAGCCTGTTGAGGGCTGGTGGGGAGGCTGTTATTGTCCGTTCTTCCTGCAGTGGCAGATGGACCTTTGCTCACACATACAGCCTGGCTTTGCCAGAGAATTCCAAACTGGCAACATTGACCACAAGCATGTGCCTTAGGTACACAATGTTCTAGTCCGTAAGGAAAGGAATGGATATATGTAACCTCTCCGGATCCATCTGGCCCCTGTGTCACAATGCCATTTTTGCTGCAGGCCATATGCAACAAAAACCTGTCTGTCTCTATTTTGTTGTTCCCAAAAAGCTGTTCGCCATGAAAAGAAAACCAAAAATACTGCGCAGACATACATATTTTCTGCATGAATTTTCACACAAACCTATCTTCCTAATTTATTGTTAATTAGACATTTTAATACAGGTGCATTTATGTTTAAAAATACTGCACAAACACAAATGGTTCTAATGGTCATTTTCATACGTTTCATTATTTAAAGACAATTGATAATATTCTTGGAGCCCAGAATAATCACATCAATTAAATAACTTGGCAACGAAACACTTTTTGCCAGTTTAACAAATTTATGAATTCATTACGAAAGTACAATAAATTCTGTACAGGTGCCCTTATTAGCCTTTTAACAATGTCCCTTTACAGAGCCACTATAGTTTTTTTGTCATTTTGTTTACTTAATCAAAGCTAAGGAGGTTAAATCCGAATGATCCTAGAGGGAGGATACAGCAATATTTTTTAAGTTATGTGTCATATTCTTTGGTGCAGGGTATATCAATGCTCCACAGATAACTAGCTACCATCAGGGCCAGATTAAGAGCCCAGGGGGCCTGGTGCTGACAATTATGATGGGCCTAATTACAGAATCGTATCGACCAAAAACACTAAAACAATCATACCTCCCAAGCATCATGTATCTGATGGAGATGGTGTTGGAGGGAAACTCAAAGGATGCAGCTATACGAAAAAACACACTCTATGCTAATCTCTCTCTAATTTATGCTTTCATCTTTCAAGTAAATCCATACAGCAGTCTCCAGTGAAGCAGGAAGTCAATGGTCAGGGTAAAAGGGTGTGCCACTGGCGCAAATCACGTGACCAGCCCTGCCAAAAGGGGTGAACAAAAAAAGGGGGCATGTTTGTCCAAATAATTGGAAGGCCAGCCTGGCATGAATGCATGTCAGGCTGCTTGCCATAGGCATGCACACAGGGTGTGCCGGGTGTGCCTGGGCACACCCTAATTCCCGTGGCACGCCTATGGTTTGAGTCCTGCAGGAACAGCATTCCTGCACTTTTTTTGAGCAGGAACACTGTTCCTGCAGGCACTCAGCACCCCCTGTCTCACCTTTTGCCCCTGTCATGCTACAGCAGACAGCCCGCGCGGCGAGAGGGAGCAGAGAGCAGACAGCACACAGCTCCCTCGCCGCGGCTGAGATGCAGAGAGGCGCCCGCCCCACTGGACCCCAGGGACTAGTCCACGCCAGCACTCCAAGTAGTGAGGCTGGGTGGACATTGTATTATTAAAATATAATAATTTGTATGTGTGTGAGTGTATGTGTGTGAGTGTGTGTCTGTGAATGTGTGTGTGTCTGTGTGTGAGTGTGTGTCTGTGAATGTGTGTGTGTGTGTCTGTATGTGAGTGTGTGTGTGTGAGTGTGTGTCTGTAATTGTGTGTGTATTTGTGTGTGAGTGTGTGTCTGTGAGTGTATGTGTGTGTGTGTGAGTGTGTCCGTGAGTGTATGTGTGTGTCTGTGTGTGAGTGTGTGTCTGTGAATGTGTGTGTGTGTGTGTGTCTGTGAGTGAATGTCTGTGTGTCTGTGAGTGTATGTGTGTGAGTGTGTGTCTGTGAGTGTATGTGTGTGAATGTGTGTGTGTCTGTGAGTGTGTGTGTGTGTGTGTCTGAATGTGTCTGTGAGTGTGTGTACGCCGCATATATATATATATATATATATATATATATATATATATATATATATATATATATATACACACACACACACACACATCCCGATCTCCCCTGTCGGCTCACGCAGAGCCGGCGCTATCTGAGTGCCGGCTCTGCTCTAAGCCTCCATGGGCCGGCGGGGAGACCAAAGATCTACCTCACCGGCCCACAGCAGCATGGAGGGAGGCAGGAGAGGACCCAGGGAGCTCTAGACAGAAGCTCCGCGATATCTGAGCGTGCTCTCAGATCTCGCGAGAGTTAACTCTAGCCCCGCAGGCTAGAGTTCACTCTCCACTGGACCACCAGGGATGGCACATGGCAGCAAGGATTTACTAATCTGCCCCCACCTCCACAATCCCTCCAAACATACAGCACACACACATACAGCACCTACACACATACAGCTCACACACACACAGTACACTAACTGCACCCTCACAAACACACACAGCACCTTTAAAAAAAACACAACACCCTCACACACAGCACACTAACAGCACCCTCACACACACACACACAAACAGCACCCTCACAAATACACAACACTCACACAAACAGCACCCTCACAGGAAAAACACACACACACAAACACCCTCACACACAAACAGCACAATCACAAACACACACACACAAACACCTTCACATCACACTAACAGCACCCTCACACACACCTCACACTAACAGCACACTAACCGCACACACAGCAGTGTATGTGTGTGTGTGTGTGTATGTGTATATATATATATAAACACACATGCGGCGTGTGTTTGTGCTTTAGGGTGCACACCCTAATGCAATAGGCTGCGCACGCCTATGCTGCCTGCCAATCATGCAGGCTGTCCAACTAAGGGCATACTATGCAGGCAGTACCTTGATCTTGACATAAATGCATAAAATTATGCACCTACTCCATTCTTTCTAAGGACTCTCCCCTAGCACTCACATGTCCACTTGTCTCCTTACCTTCTTACTAGCAGTTAGAAGTTCCTTGTATATGGTTTGGGAGTGTAGAAGAAAGGGGACATGCCACAGTGTTAGAGAAACCAAAGTCTGCATTACCTAAACTAATTTTATTGTCATTCCAGTCCACACAAGTTTTGTTGCCATACATCCCCCTTAAGCTTCCAAACTTAAAGCGACACTATAGTCACCAGAACAACTACAGCTTATTGTATTTGATCTGGTAAGTAGAATCATTCCCTTCAGGCTTTTTGCAGTAAACACTGTCTTTTCAGAGAAAATAACGCCACTGACCACTCCTTAGATGGCTGCTAGAGTTGCTTCCTGGGGCAGAACTGCTGTAGAATATTGCATATTCTATATGTTCCTATTCAAATAGATATTAAGGTGTGGCTGTCTAATGGGTTAAACAGAACAGATGGTGTTTGCTATTCTGTACCATGAGGTCTCTGGAATTTGCTCTATAAGAGATTTGAGGTGGTCTTTATATAGGGAATTTCCTTATATGGCAGAGTCTAAACTAAACGTTATGACGTAATTTGGGCTATATAGAGCCAAGGACAAAGGACCACGCGCTCTTCCTTCTACGATCCGTTTTGCTCTCCTCTCTGATGTCTTGAGTTGCTGATACAAAGACGACTCTCTGTAACATCGTTAAGAAATACCATCTGTTAAGTATATTATTGTTTGCTGTTGAATGTAGAATAAATACTTATTTTTTAATAAAGAACGTCAGATTGCGTATTAGTACTTTTCAATAATATAGACATATATTATTGTGGCGAGCCTGACCCAAAAGAAGAAATATATATATATATATATATATATATATATATACATAAAAGACTTATTCAACTAAAGAAAAACACGGCCAGATATTACAACTGC